CTGGGACACAGAAGCCTACGTCCCTTTTGTGGATCTGCGCCTAAATCTCTCTGGGCATGTCTACACTAGGAAACTATTTTGAAATAACCAAAATTGATTTAATAACTCCCAAAATAACAAAATCAAAATAGCGCGTCCTCACTATAGGGAAGCCTCGGAATTAGTCCGAGGCTGGCTCCGTTAATGTAGATGCACTTCCTCGACTTAGAGCCCCAGGAAGCACTGGGGAGTAATTAGTTTGAATAACTCTGGGGAGTAGTTATTTCAAAATAGCAGCAGTGGAGCATCCACACTACCGCTATTCCAAAATACTATTTTGAAATTAGCATTATTCCCCGAGGAAAGCAGGAGTACAGATTTTGAAATAAGCAGCCCGTTACCTCAAAATAACGGGCTTGGTAATGTGGACGCTCCACTTATTAATTCAACCTACGGGGGATTATTTCAAAATAAAGCCCTGGTGTAGACCAGGGCTCTGTGCCTCAATCCCCTTCTGTAAAATGGGGATAATAACACTGCTGTAGTTCATTGGAATGCAGCAAGGATAAATGTATTACAGACTGTGACCTACTCAGATGGCATGTTGATGGGAGCCATATAAACACCTTAGATCCATAGTTCTGTCTGTGAAACCTGGATTTAAGTTCCCAGCTCCTCCACAGACTTCCTGTGTAACATTGGGAAATCAGCAAATCCATTTGTGCTTAATTCTCTATCTGTGAAATTGAGAATTCCCCCTGTCCCCATCTTCCTCATTAGCATGGAGGATAAGTTCTTCAGGGGCAGAAGTTGCATCTTAACATTGCAATGGGAGCCATATGGTGCAGCTGTCATCTGCCACCGTTACAGCTCTCCTGGACCATGCCATGATATCTGCCAGAGGCCCAACCCTGTCCTGCCCCAAGCTTTCCAAGTAGTTAATAAAGTAGTGTTTTTGCATAGGCATTTAGCTACAGAAAATAGGAGGATGCTAGAAGTTGGATCTGGAGCAAAGGATTAGATCATCCAACTTTCCCCTGTGCTAAGACTGGGCATATACCATACGCCCGCTGCTTTCATGAAGTAATCAGTGCCTGCTCTTTGTCTGCCCTCCAGGGGCTTTTGTGGAGACGTCACACATTTCTGTGAGTCTTACCGGGGGAGAAAGGGTGTGTCTCTAGTTCTTGTTTGTTGTAAAGAAATGGAATTGAAGGCTAGTGTGGGCAACACAAAAGACTCGTGCAGATCCCTGGTGAAAGGTGCCCTAGACACAATGTTTCCTTCAGCTGCAGAAGGCCCCCACAAGCATGTAAAATAGCCTCTTTCATTGGCTCATGATTGCATGGATTGCCCATGGCATTTCAATGTCTAGAACCTCTGGGTGATCAATTGGGCTTAGAGAAAGTTTCCTACATATCCCCAAACCAGGGCTCCAGGGTTTTATAACTAATAAATGTAAGTGTCTCTAAAATTGATTTTCTATACTGACAAGATGTGGAAGTCACTTACTGTGCAGCCACTCAAAGCTACAACAAATGTGATGTTCCACTGGGACAGAGGGTTTCCGACTCTCCAATAGAATACAGATCTTGTTCCTAAAACTGATGATGTGAGAGGGGTGGGCCCTATGTCTGGTACTGATTTGAAATCTTATCCCTCTTCAAAAAAATTTTTTTAATTGATCTTTAGCAATAAATATGGTCCATCATGCTGACAGTAAAGTAACTGCATCACGGCAGGGAAATTACACTAGTGATGAATTTAGCCAAAATACTTTTCACCTACGTGAAGTTTTTCTAATTATTTGACAAATATGAGTTAGCTACCTTTGAGGGATTTCTATGCCAAGAAGATCTAGATCAGTATTTAATTTGCTTCGCTGATTTTCATGCTCAAAGATTCCCAAAGTACTGTATTATATTTTTTAGTCATGCAGTGACTGTAAGCTGGTGGTGCTCAGCGTGTGGGCAGTGGACCACTAATGGTGATTACAGCATTTCTTGGTAGCCCATAGTGGATTGTTTTGAGAAGTAAGCGGCTGGGAATTAAGTGTTGGAATGTGTATCCTCTAAGGCATGGGTTCCCAAACTGGAGGGCGTGAAGAAATTCTGTGGGGGGGGCTCGAGGCAACCCAACCCTCCCGCCCCCATCAAGTTTTGCTGCCCCAGTCAGTTCCTTTTTTTTTTGCTCAATAAGTTTTGCTGCTATTTTTGGGGGGGAAGGCATGAGGGTTTTTCAAAAATCAAAAAGGGGGCGTGATGCCGAAAAGTTTGGGAACCACTGCTCTAAGGCATCTTTCTCTTGCCCATCATTAGCAGGCTGAAAAAAAATGGAGAACTGCCGGTGTCAACAAATGCAAAGTGGAAACAAACTCTACTGTGCTGTTTATACAACAGATTCATCCCCTCTCTCCCATTGGGCAGAGCCAACTTCTAAGGAGGTGGATTTCTACCGACTTCATATTTGCACAGGCATGAGCAGAAGATTTCAGACATTCTGACTGCCAGCCCCAGGCTGTGTTAAGGCTCCTGTTAGCTTCTCCTCAAGCACATTGCTTTGCGCAGGTGTTTTTAGTTAAATCTTGCTGCCAGAATTCCTCAGGGTAGTTTTTTCCTCTCTCCATTTAGCAAGGCTTCATATTTCAGGGGTGTAGGAAAGGTGTGACTAATTGAAGACAAAGAGAGGAGAACAATGCCTTTGTTCCTTGGGGTGAGGTGACGGTCTATTTGGATGGGGTTTCTCCACCAATCAAGACTAAGTCACTTCTCTTCCTGGGGACCCCATCTTCTTTCATATCCTGGATCTCACTCCTAATAAGTAACATTGGAGGAGGTTATCTAGTGGACTTTTGGTGCTGCCCGGTAGCTGTTCTCTTCAGCTGTGTCTAGACTGGCCAGTTTTTCCGGAAAATCAGCCGCTTTTCTGGAAAAACTTGCCAGCTGTCTACACTGGCCACTTGAATTTCCGCAAAAGCACTGACTTCCTACTGTAAGAAATCAGTGCTTTTTGCGGAAATACTATGCTGCTCCCGTTCGGGCAAAAGTCCGTTTTTGCGCAAAACTTTTGCGCTAAAGGACCAGTGTAGACAGCTGAGATTTGTTTTGCACAAAAAAGCCCCGATCGTGAAAATGGCGATCAGGGCTTTTTTGCGCAAAAGCGCATTTAGATTGGCCACGGATGCTTTTCCGCAAAAAGTGCTTTTGTGGAAAAGTGTTCATGCCAATCTAGACGCTCTTTTCCGAAAGTGCTTTTAATGGAAAACTTTTCCGTTAAAAGCATTTCCGGAAAATCATGCCAGTCTAGACGTAGCCTTCCTGTTTGTTGCCATGCAAACCTATCCAAGTCTGAGTTAGTAATGAGTGTCCCTCAAGGACTTTCTAATGCAAAAGTCTCCCCAAGCGGCTGGTGCCAAGACCTGAAATGGATGGTGCTAAATCCCTGAATTATCCTGCAGAACAGAAACTAAATGACAATATTTCAGACACTTCAACCTGTGATTTACCCTCCCCAGTACTTCCTGCTAAATCTACAAATCACCGGTGCTTTGGGAAATGCTTTCTCCCACTTGAGGGCTACATCGCACACCGAGATCTTTTAGAGGAGCCTGTGGATGGTCTTTCCAAGTCCGACCATCGTCTGTACATTGCCGGCTCTTTCTTTCTCCTAGGCATAAGGCCCCTCTTATGATATCGGAAGGACTTTCCACTTTATAGGATGTAGTACCCAAGTGCCTGTGTGATGCCTCACAGAGTTCAGTCTATGACTTAGCCCAGTGGTTCTCAAAGTGTGGTCCATGGATCACTAGTGGTCCATGACTATTTTGCAGTTGGGCCACAGGCTCGGGGCTCACCCCTCTGCAGCAGAGAGCCTGCGCTCATGCTCCAGCCCTGCACCTCTCCCCACCGAGAGGTGGGAGCACCAGCTTCCTGCTGCGGGGTGGGGGGATGAGCCTCGCTGGCCGGATCTGGCTTGTGGGGGAGGGAAGCGGCTCCACACACTGCCATCCCTTCCCCCCCAGCTGGGGGAATAGCAGCACAGGAAACCACTTGCCTGGAGGCTTTTGCCATTGATCTCATTGGCCAGAAATGCAGCCAATGGGAACAATGGGGAGGCGGCGCCTGGGGGTGATGGAAGGCATGGAGCCAGGTAAGCGCCCCCATTCCCATCGTGCTAAAATCCCACACCCCATCCCCCTCACACCTCTCCTACCAAGACCCCACACCCTCCCCTCACTCCTGCACTTGCCTCACCCTCACGCCGTTCCTGCACCATCCCTCCCACTCAGTCCCCCCCCGCTTTAGCCTGCTCCTGTACCTTACCTCTCACCCATTACTCCCCACCCTCAGCCTGCTCCTGCACCCTGCCTCCCAGCCAGACTCCCATTACCAGCCCACTACTGCACATTACTTTCTGGCCAGACCCACACCTCCACCCGCTCCTGCATCCATTTTGTCATCATGGGTGGTTGGCTGGTGGTCCATGGAAAGGTCTGCATTGAGCAGGGTGGAACGCAGGCCAAAAAGTTTGAGAACCCCGACATAGCCAGATGAGCAGCGACACAAGCCAAAGGTCACAGTGCACTTTAGCTAAAATTGGGAGCAGAACTTTCGCAATAAGGTCAGGCTTGGTAAGACTCATTTGAGGAATCCCTTAATGAACCCCTTACAGGGGCGGCCCATCTATATAGGCAAATTAGGCGGTCGCCTAGGGCTGCAACTTAAATGGGGCGCCAAATGGTGATGCAATATCGAGGGGTTTGGAGGTGGGGGCACCAATTGCATGGTTTGCCTATGGTGCCAGTTGCAGGTAGCTAGTCTAGGGCCACACCTGATCCCTTATATATCTAGCAGCAAACAGTCACGTTCTGTTACCCAGGCAAGAAAAAAAGCATGTCCCAGTCCTCCAAGATGCTGAGATGTGAGTCTTTGGTGCCTTTGAAAAAGCAGACCAGAAGCACTAGCCTCAAAGCATGTTTCAATCCCCTAATTGCAGATGTTTGCCTTCATTTTCCAAACCAGGAAGAAGAGGGTCTTACCATAGTTAGATGACAAGAGGATCTGCCTGAAGCTGGGGTTCAGGGCATGGTCATGCTCTTACAGAGACTCCTTCTGAGGGCTGCAGTCACCCAGGACTTCTGCACAGCGTGGGGGGGATGAAATCTCATCTCTCCAAATTGCCTGGTAAGACGATAGCCATGCTAGCAAATGGTTTTGACCGGATTTGGCTTCAACTCCCCACGTTAGCCTATGTCATTCATTCTCCTCTCTCCCCCCTCCTTCCACAGAGAGTTAAAGGCAGCCCGGTCACAGGGACAGTGACAATGGTTCTTTCACATGAGACACAACAGTGACATTGCTCCGTGTTTACTACTGATGCGATGAAAAGGAAAACCCCTCCCGGTAGCGACTGACCTTTTTTTTCAGTGAAATTCCATTTACAGGTAAGAAAAATGTCTCTGTTTACCCTATTCCCTTCCATGACCTTTGAGGTCCACTGGGTTGTTTTTGCTGTCAATCCATAGGGGCCCTGGAGGCCGAATGATATCAGCTGTCAGCTCTGGACTCTGAGATTTATTTCATGGAGGCTCCGGTTTGGCCATCTGAGCACAGTGCAAGGTGTTTCCTTCTATCCAGCCTGATGATTGGTGCTGCCACTGAGCAGTTCAAAAGGCAGCAAGAAGTTACAGGCAGGGATTTGTGGACCATGTGTATGTGTGAATTCTCTTCATATTAGGCTTTTGTGCTGCTGCCCATGACCATACCTGGGCACTTTTTATGCCAAAATTGATCAGCAATATCAAAGCCCCTAGTGAACTTTATATGGCTGCTGGCACGTCTTACTTTTCAGCTTATAAAAAGCTCTGCTTGGGAGAAGGCATTTGTGTGTATAAGTGAGATGTGGCGGAAGTTCTTCTGAATGTTTTTCTGGTCAGGGTGGAAACATTTTATGCATAGGAAAGTTTTTCAGTGTTTTCTAAAATTGGTCAGATTCTGGATTCAGCCAATCTTGTCTGGAAATTCATTCCACAGTCAGATCCCTTAAACTGTGGAGACTTGGCCTCCAGCGCTCACACACTTAGTTCTGGGCATTATGATCTTCATTACCCCAGAAAAGCACAATGGTTTAGGTGGTTCACAGATGGAAATGCATTCTGATATATCAGGAGGACCTAGTCCGTTACTGGCTCTGGTAACTAGACAAAAACATTAACAGGCAGCTGAAATATATTGGGAGACATTGGGAAAGCCCAGACCAGTATGCTGAGTTTCCACACTTTGTACAGGACCTAGATACTACATTGATGGCCAGCAATAACCCTGTAAATAGTTTTTCGATGGACGTGTTTAGCACTTTGCTATATCTTTACAATGCAAGCCATAGTATAGCTACAGTAGGAGAACAAATACATTTCTTTTGGGCTTTGTGGTATTTCATGGTGGCATAATGAATTTTAGGCCATGGCTACACTACAAAATTAAGATGACTTAACTTACATCAGCGTACAGCTGCTGCAGTAATTACATTGCTTGTGCATGTCTACACTTGGCACCTTGTGCTGGAGGTTCATGTCCTCAACCAGGAGAACTTGTATCAATGTACTGTCAATGTGGGGCATTGTGGGACAGTAAGGGCGTGTCTCTACACAAGAGGGCAAAAGTCAAATTAAGCTACGCAACTTAAGCTACGCAATGATGTAGCTCAAGTCAAAATAGCTTAATTCAGCTTTTGGTGCTGTCTACACAGCAGGAAATCCAAGTTAGAGCACTCTTCCTCTGATTTCCCTTACTCTTCGTAAAATGAGGGTTACAGGAGTCAGAGTAAGAAGTCTTCCAGCTTGACATTGTTTCAACATTATGTCAAAATAACTGCTTGCTTTGTAGATGTGAGCTGTGTTATTTCAGAATAACTTCAGTTACTCTGAAATAATGCTGTGTAGACACAGCCTAAGAGTTGACATAAACAGCACAGTGCCCATGCTGACATTGTGTCAACCTAACTACATTGACTTTGACTCTACATCACTCATGAAGGTGGAGTTATTACATTGGCATAGCAGAGCAGTAAAATCGCATTGGTGGGGATAATATTTAAATGGAGATACTTCTATAGTTAGGTTGACATGAGCTGCCTTGTGTCAACCTAACTCCTTAGCGTCGCCCAGGCCTTAGATGTCTATAGACAAATTCAAGGAATGTGGGGAATCAACAGGAAAAATTGGAAGCATTATACATAAGATAAACTATGGCTCACTTGATGTCACATTAAAACTTGGTCGGCTAAATCTCATGACTGAAATATGGTATAGACGGGTGTAGCTAATTCAGGAAGACCATAGTCAAAGAATGCATGAATCCATGGCTTGCTGTCAAACTGAGAGGACATATCTAGGGGAGTTCTGCAAGGGTCTGTCAGTATTTGACATTGACATTAATTATTTTAAAATGATTGCTTGCATATCACCAATAGACCCTAGTAGTCTGTGGGCGGAACCGAACCTAGAACCTCTGTAGCTTAGACCACGAGCCCCTACCACATGAGCTAAAAAAAACAGATCATTATTTCCCCTGCCATGGTTTTGGTGCCACTAGATAGGACAGTGCACCACACACAGGAGGTGTGCAGGTTACACTTGGATGGCATCAAATTGGGAGGCACTGTTACTGCTTTGTAGCCTAGGAATAAAAATCAAAAGCTTTGACAAGTTGTAGAAAATTGTTCTGGAATCAAAAAAACTAAATTCAGTAAAAGACAAGTGCAAACTATTACACTTAAGGAGGCAAAATCACATGCATAGCAACATAATGGTGAGTAGCTGGTTAGAACTTCTGAAAAGGCTCTGGGGCTTCTGAAAAGGCTCGGGTAGTCCCCGAGTTACGCGGATCTGACTTACGTCGGATCCGCAGTTACGAACGGGGATTTTCTCGCCCCGGAGGACTCGAGCAGCGGGACGCCTGGTCCCGCCGCCCGCCTCCTCCGGGGCGAGAAAAGCTGCTCCCCATCTCCCTGGTCTGCTGCGGGAGCCAGCAGACCAGGGAGACGGGGACCAAAGCGGCGCAGGACCCGGGCCAGACCGCGGCGCTTCCAGCTGATCTAG